CACCAAGCAGGAGCTCAACTCCACCAAGCAGGAGCTCAACTCCACCACGGTGGCCCTTTGGCAGAGCCGGGCGGCCGGGAACCAGACCCGGCGGCAGCTGCAGCGCCAGGAGCTCCAAGCCAACCACAGCCTGGCTCTTCTGCGGAGGGAGCAGGCGAGCCTGGAGACCAACCTCAGCCAGGCCACCTCCTGCCGGCAGATTGGTAGGTCTGCCTCCCTCTGGGTTCCCCTCTCCCGGCCTCTTCCAGGGGAACAGTTGCGGGGGCTTCCCTGAGCAGGAGGCGGGGTCTGGGGGAGGGTTGCTTCTCCACATTTGCTAACTTCCTGGGTTGAGCTGTCCCCCCCACCCCCGTTGTGAGCCTGGCGTGTCTCGCTGAGCACCCGACCCCCCCTCCCCCAAGTATCGGTTCCTCCGGCTGGAGCAGGGAAAGCTGAGCGTGACCAGCTGCTTCCTCTTATAAGCCGTCGCAAACTCCTCCGCCTCCTCCTCCCGGGACTCCCCAGAGATGCCGCTTGCTCCCGCTGCTTCGCTGGCAGCTCCGAGCAGGGGGACGGAGTGGGGCGGGTCCTGGAGCCGCGCCGACCCTTCCCCAGCCCCCTCCCGTTCGGCCGCCGCTCGCCCAGTCCAGGCAGGTTCCCCTCCGAGCCTTCCCTCTAGGGTGCTGCCCCCGCGGATGGACGCTGTTCCGCTGGAAGTGCCTGCGGGCGTCGAGCGAGTGGAAGACGTGGGAGCGGAGCAAGGCGCACTGCGAAGGGATGTCCTCGCGGCTCCTGGTCCTCCCGGAGCCCTGGTCGGCGGGAGAGCTCTGGAAGGCCGTGGGCGAAACGTTCACCCAGGTGAGGAGAGGCGGAGCAAAGACCCTCGGGGGGGGGTTTCCCTCCATAAGATTGGGCTCCATTAGGACAGCCCCCGCCCCCAGTCTCAACGGAGCAGCACCGACCTGTGCTTCGAATGGATGGGCGGAGCTTTGCCTCTTCGACCCCTGTGGAGTTCCAGCCTGTCGAGATCCCTCTGGATCTGGAGCCGATTTTCTCTAGGGCGTTGGCTATTCCTGCCAGCTTAGTATATGGAAATGTGGTAAGTTCCCCTTCTATTCCCTCATTTAGGAAGAAATGGAAGAGTCCTGGGCCTGAACCCCACTGCTTACTTCCCTCCGTGTAGACATAGTCCCATTAAGGACTACTCCTTGAGTATGGTCGGTCAGCCAGTTGCCAGTTCATCTGGTGGTGATGCTGTCTATCCCACTTTTTTCTAGCTTACCAAGAAGTAGGCTGTGGTCTATTTTGTCGAATGCCTTGCTGAAGTCTAACTATATTACGTCCACAGCATTTTGCTGGTTTACTAATTTAGTCACTGTAGAAGAATGAACTAAGATTGGTTTGGCATGACCTGTTTTTAACAAACCCGTGTTGACTGCTAGTTATTACTTTACTTGTTTCTAGAGTTCCTGGTATTCAGAGTGGTTCTGGGTCGGACTTGTGAAAAACAAGGAAGTGGGCAGGACCTGGTCGTGGGTGGATGGTTCCTTGTACAAAGGGTGAGTGCGACTGAAGGGCCTGGGGGAGGCGGGGCGGGGGGGGGGCAGAGGGGGCTGTCTGGGGAAGCAGGCAGCTCCGGGCTCCAAGGGTTTGTCTCTGCTGGAAGGGAAGGGGTAAAGGCAGCCCCACCTGAGCAGAGGGGAGGGGGAGGGGACCCAGGAGGGGCTCCGGTCCAGGCCCCTGCCCATCGCCCTGTGGAAGACTTTGGGGCAGGGAGGCCACTTTGAGGGGAGCCCCAGCCCTAGATGGCTCGGCTCAGGGCGAACGCCTGAGGAAGTAAGGCCTGCCTGGCCGCCAGCCTGATGGAGTAACAGAATAACAAGACTTGGAAGGTCCTCTGGTCCAACCCCCCCTGCACAAGCAGGGAGACCCTCGGCCAGTCCAGACCGGTGGCTCTCCAGTGTTTTCTTAAAAGCCTGCAGTGTCTGGAGGGAAGCAGTTCCACTGGTGAATTGTCCTTATCGTTAGGAAGTTTCTCCTTAATGACCAGGTTGCTTCTCTCCTTGGTGAGTCTCCAGCTGTTGCTTCTTCTCCTGCGGGGGGGGGGGGGCTTTGGAGAAGAGGTTGTCCCCTCCCTGTCTGTGAGAGTCCCTCAAATATTGGAGGATGCAATCGTGTCACCCCTGGTCCTCCTCCTCACTTTTGCATTTACCTTTATTTCCCTGGCGAGAGCCAGTTTGCTGCACTGGTGGAAAGCCTCAGACTGGGAACCGGGAGTTCTAGCCTGGCTTCAGCTGACCTGAAGGGCCCTTTCAGCACCGGGAAGGGGGGGGCTGGGGCGAAAGCCCCCCGGAAACTGCAGCACAGGGAGATGTCAGGAGTGACTCCAGGGCAGCACAGCCAGAGTGCAGTGCAAAGCTGGTTACGTTTTAAGGGGAACACGGGGCCCAGAGAGAGGGTTGCTGTTGCACACCTGTTAACACAAGTCCCGTGCTTGCATGGCACAAAGATCCCCACTCATCTCTTTGTGGTTGCTCGGCAGGGAAACACTCTTGCCACCCGCTCTGACGTCCCTTATCGCTTGGTCCACTTTGGAAATCCGGCTGCTGCAGTTTGTGTTTCACATTCAGTAGAGAAAGAAATCTGTGAAGATGTTCATAAGTGTCTTTTCAACATTCCAGTGAAACTCTGAATGGTTACTCCCCCTCCTATGCTGCCCTGGGCAATGGACGACTGTCATCTTCATCATCATGGAAGCACAGATTCATCTGCGAGAGGGCAGCCAGTCCTGAGGACCCCCCACCGAGCGATTGGTATGCAGCTCCCTCAATGAAGCCAGCAGGACTTCTGGGAAGGGAGGGACAAAGTGCAGGCCCCTATCCTGCATCGGGGATCCAGGAATTCTGGTTCTAAGCTAAGATTGGATGTGCCCAACTTGTTTCGTTTTAACCTTAGTTGCTTTCTCATGGCTTAATGTGGCTTACAGGGAACCTTGTGAGCTCAGAACGCAGGTTAGTTCCGTGACCAGGATAAGCACCTAATGGAAGGTGACACAAGAACTCTGGATCTCCCCCCGCACCCTCTGCTTAGAAGGAGACCCCTTCTCTCCCCCCCTGAGCTCCCTCTGGGAACAATTTCTGCCCATAAGAAATTCTTCCTAATATCCAGCCAAAATCTGCTCCCTGGAAAGTGAAGCCCAAACTGTCTGTGCCCAGCTCCGGTCCCTGCCCCTTAAGCCCCCAACCCCACCGGGGCTTCCTTCTCCAGGCTCGGCAAATCAGCTGCTTCCCCCACCCCCAATCTCTGCTTGCTGTTGTCTCCCCTGCCCCCATTTGCCCCCATCCTTCCTGAAATGGGGCTGCAGCACTCTGGAGCGGTTTGCCCGAGGCAGAACCAACCGAGAAGAGCCAAAACATCTTTCGCCTTTGACCACCTGCTCCTGTCAAGGGAGCCCAGATCCATCCTTGCCCTTCTTTGCGGCCGTGTCATTGCCCTGGCTTATGTTCAGCCTGCGATCCACCAAGACCCCAGACCCTTTTCCTTCTTCCGTCCAGCTGCCCAGAGGGGTCTCCCTCACTTCGTTTCCCTCCCGGTGACAACATTTCTGCTTTCTTCCTTCAAGGCCCTGGAGGGACCTTTGAGAGACGCTTTGGACCGCAAACAGCCGGATGCGGGAGAACAAATGGACCCTGAGCGTCCGGAGCTGCGGCTGATGCTGGCCCAGAGGCTAGGAGGAAGCCCTCGTCCGAAGAGGGGGATGCCGGGACCTTCCTCCCCCAGAACTGACCACAGGTGGACGGCAGAGGCCTCCGCAGGGGCTGCTAACCACGTTGAAATGGTGGGCATCAGCAGGGGGTCAAAGTCCCAGCCCTTCTTACGTGCTCAGGAGCATGCAACGTGCATTGCTCACCATTTGGACACATGGCTCCCAGTGGCCCTTGTAGGTGGCCCTTTAAGAGCGCCTGGGCCCCATGGCAGGGAGGGGAGGCCCTTCTTGTAAGCCTCCAGCGCCTGTGAACCCAATAAATCTGTCCAACAAGGAGGGAAGTGTGTTCAGGCGCCTCCATGCTTGCCGGGAGCATCTGGGGTGGCCTGGAACTCCCGAGCAGCCTCTCCGTCAGGGTGGAAGGAGGTGGACACTCCCACATCACCTTGTTCTTGTTGTCAGTTCTGGTGGGGCAAACTTGATTCCCTTAAGTCTTTCATGCAAAATTTGTCCCATTGGTCAAGAAACCACAGGACAACGATGCCACGACGGGAACCGGAGGCTGGTCTTGCCCCCCAACTGTTTTCACCACCACAGGCCCCAGAACTTCACCCGTGAGGCTGCTCTTCACCCCCAGTGATGTCGGCCACCTTCTGTAGCAAAGCCCCTCCGGCCTTCATAGCTCCTCTTTCCTCCCCAGCTTCTGGCAACCGCCTCTGATTTACTGGGGTGTCCTCCTCCTGGGTCCTGGGTACATTGTGGGCACTGGAGTCCAGGGCATCTGGGAGGAAGATCTAGGAGCACCGTTGTCTTGCCAAATAGCTGCCCGTGGGCCTCTTGGCCATGAGCCTCTCTGGGCTGGAAGAAGTGAGGGGGAGGGGCGAGACGGGGCAGTGACCCAGGCTGAAGGCATCTTGTGTGAACTCCTCAAGGAATGCAGGTCTGCAGAGCCCAATGCCAGCTCCCAGGACAGAGGCACAGCTGGGCCTAACCTGGGCCTGCCAGACACTTTGGAGTCCAGCATCAAAGGCTGGGGCCCGGCCTTCTGGGAGGAAGTGTGAGGCCACGAGAAGGGTGTGAACGTATGCACACAGAAGCACTTTGGGTCTCTTCCTTCCTTGACTCCCTACCTGAAAACCTCTTCCCCAATCAGTCTCCATCAGAGCTGCCCCAGCTGAGCCCTCAGGAAAGACAGACTCCGTTTGCAGTGAGAGGCAGACCTTTACGAAAGGCCAGCGGTTGCCACATAGCAAAGGCAGATTCCTTTCTCCCAGACCGCCCCACCCCCCCTGGCCGTCTTGGGCTTGTCCCAGAAGGGTCCAATCAGGTGTTTTGGCAACCGTTCCCCCCCCCCCGTTGGCAGTCTCTTCTGCATTCCGTACTTGGGTTGTTCAACCGTTCAGTGGCACCTCTGGTTCCTGTCATGCCCTCTCCCTATCTCCCCCCCTCCCCACGCTCTATGGCAGGCTGCCATCCAAGCGAATGAAAGCAGGTCTGTAAAGGGTTTGATGGCAGATCCCAAGACAGGCTCCCTCTTGAAGCAGGCCCTCCGGATGATCCCTGCCTCCCCACCCCGGACAGCCTCCCTACCTGGGTCTCAAGCGCTGGGCTTCCTGCAGGACATGGAGGCCCCCCGAAAGGCTGGTGGGAGGCAGAAACGCCTGCGCAGGCTGGATGGGGAGCCACGTCAGGGCAAGTTTCAGAGAAGGGGAAACTGAGTCACCTGCATGCAGACCTTGCTGGGCCTGACAGCAGAGGAGGCTGGTGGGATTCCTCGGGAGAAAGAGATGCAGGTGGAAATAACCACAGTCTTAGCAGATCCTTTCCACTGCCCTGAAGCCCCCTGAAGCCAACAAGGGCAAGCAATTGCGTTGCAATCCAGTAGGTACTTTTGAAGGAAGGATGCTGCCAATGTCTCCAAAGCAGCCAATTGATAGATGGTAAAAGCAATTTCTTGGAGAAGAACCACTGTCAACAGTAAGCTTCAAAAGTCAAAGAGACAATTGGTCCACTAATGGAAAAAGACGGCAAAGAAGTAACGGGGAAAGCAGAACTGCTACATTCATACTTTGCATCCGTCTTCAGTCAAAAAGAAAACAATAACTCAATTTACCAAAAACGGAACCATAAATGACAGGTTAGGAATGCAAATTGAAACATACAAAAATAAGAGATCACCTGTCAGCTCTAGATGGATTCAAATCACTGGGTCCTGATTGACAGCACCCCGGAGTCCTGAAGAAACTGGCAGATGTGATTTTGGAACCATTAAAATACATCAGGGATAGAACAGAGTTGGGACCCTGGAGGTCTTTTAGTCCAGCCCCCTGCTCAAGCAGGAGGCCCTATACCTTGCCCCCCAAAAACCAAACCCCAATATCTTTCAAAGTTCTTGGAGCACCGAGGAACTACCTGAGGACTGGAAAAGGGCTGATGTGGTCCTCATCTTCAAAAAAAAGTGGGAGAAACAGATCCAGGAAATTACAGACCACTCAGCCTGACATCAATACCTGGGAAGATCTTGGAAAACATAATTAAGCAACAAATCTGCATACACCTACAAGCAAACAAGGTGATAACCAGAAGCCAACATGGGTTTGTCCAAAGCAGATCAAACAAATGTTATTTCATTGTTTGAGAAAGCGACCAGATTAGTGGATCAGTGAAATGCTGTGGACATACTTGGATTTCAGTAAAGCATTTGATAAAGTAAACCACAACCTACTTCTTGGGAAGTTAAACCAATGTGGGATACAGAACATCACCACCAGATGGATTTGTAAGTGGCGGACAAACTGCATTCAACGTTTAGTGCTCAATGGAATTACGAGCGCGTGGAGGGAAGGTAGCAGCAGCAGCTTCCCCCAGGATCCATTTGGGACCCGGTTCTCTTCCATATCTTCATGAACGATCGAGACGAGGGAATAGGAGGGGAGCTCATCAAATGACACTAGATGACACTAAGCTGGTAGGAACAGCCAGCTCCCCAGAAGACAAGCTCAGGATCCAAAAGGACCTGAACAACGAGCCCCATCCAACAACGTGAAATCCAGCCCAGGTAAAAGTAGGGCCTTACACTCAGGCAAGCAAAGGCTTTTAGAGGTGGAACTTAGCTTCATGCCAGTAACTCTGAGAAGGACCTTGGAGTCCTCATGGGCAATCCCTGTCAGAGCTGCCACCCGCTTGAACTGCTAACGCAGAAGGACCCTGGGCTCCGTTTGTTGAGAAAGGGATATAGTTTGATCAGAAGTCAAGCGCGTTGCAGGAATGCAAAGCCAGAACTGAGGTTGGGGGGGGGGGGGCAAAACCACTAAGTTCTACTCCGTCCCCCCTCCCCCCCCCCACTTGCTGCCTGCCCCATTTTGATCAATCCAGTTTGTGAAAGATGTTTTCATAATGATCAGTCTGAGCGCCAGTTGGTGTGTGTCTCCCTCCTCCTCCCAGTTGTGTGATCTTGAAGCCTGCTGGCCGAGGCAGCAGAGTTTCTACTTTCGTTTTCCCCTAAGCCCCCGCCCTCCCCTTTATTCCTTCCCCCCACGGTCCTTGGCAGAGTGCCAGCACAAAACAACAGAGCACAAGCAGGCTTCAGGTGGCGCCTGACAATCCCTTCAATAGGAGCCAGCCGTGTGCGGCAGCAGCCAAAAAAGCCAATGCAACCCTAGGCTGCATTAATAGAGGGATAGAATCAGGATCGTGTGAAGAAATAAAACCACTTTATAAGGCCACACCTGGAAGACTGCATCCAGTTTTGGTTGCCACAATGTAAAAAAGAGGCTGAGATTGGAAAGCGGGCAGAGAAGAGTGACGGGAATGATTAGGGGGCTGGATACAAAGAATGGCTGCAGGATTTGGGTCCGACTGGTCTAGAGGAAAGAAGCAGCCTTCCGATATTTGACGGGCTCCTACAAAGACGGGGGGGGGGGGGGGTCAACCTAGTCTCCAGAGCACCTGAAGGCAGGACAAGAAACAACGGATGGAAACTAACCAAGGAGAGAAGCAACCTGGAACTAAGGAGGAACTTCCTAAGGATGAGAGCAATCAGCCAGTGGAACAGCCTGCCACTAGAAGGTGTGGGTGCTCCAACACGGGAGGCTTTTAAGAAGAGACGGGACAACCATTTGTGGGATAGGGTCTCCTGCACAAGCAGGGGGCTGGACTAGAAGACCTCCAAGGTCCTTTCTAACTCTATTATTCTATGTTCTAATTAGCCAGACAAAACACTTGTTCATTCACAGTTTCCCAAACCCACAAATAGGCTGCCAATACACTGTCCACCCAAAAAAGGCAAGATACCAGGAAGGACAATTAAGACTGACCGTCTGACAGAGTCACACAATAGAAGCAACAGGTACAGGCACCCTCTCCACTCCCAAACTGACCCCAAGGCCAGTTCCCCGATAAATCAACCTCTCCTCCGCTCCCCAGTTTCTCTGCAGAAAGTGGACCTGGCTTTTGTGAATATCCCTCTCGTGCCTTAGAAACCCGGGTTGGATCGGGGTCCAGATGCCCAGGAAAAGAAGTTGGCTGCAACTCCTCCCCCCTCCCTGAAGGGTGAGCAGGATCAGCCCAGCTCCCCTCCTTGCTTAACCCCATCAGGTCAGATTGAGCCTCCCAGCCCCAGACAACCCCCCCCGCAAGCCCTTCTAAGGAGGGGCAGCTGCCTCCTCAGCACTCACAGGATGGGGTGCAGGAGAGTAACGGGGTGAGAAACCCCCAAGCTCCACCCCCTTATGCCAGCCCTCCATCTCCTTCACAAGCGGCTTCCCCAGCCCCCCCCTCTAGAGCAAGAGGCCCAATCTGCCCACACTGGCCAGGAAGCCGGATCTCCGGGAATTTCCCCCTGGGAGGCCCTGGGCGTCTCCGAGCCTCTTTGGTCCCCATTCCTTGGGGCTCCTCTAAATCAGGGGTGCTGCCCTGCCTCAAGGTCTCCTCTAACAGACCCCTCCAGGAGGTAGATAGAAGGAACCGAGT